TTTGCATTTTAGTATGTTCAAACCCTCTCCTCCATTTCTCTCGAACAAACAGAGTTAGGGTACTTTTGCTTTTTCATATACATATACTTACAGGAGAACAGTTTTTTGTTTATAAAAAAATATTTGAATTTTTTAAAAATTAATTTGAGCTTTTGAGCTTTTGTTTCTAATTTTTAGTGAATTTAATTTATTGAATTTGATCAATTTTATTAATTTTTAAAATTTGTAGAGTGGAGAAAACATGTTTGAATTTCAATAAAAACCAAAATGAAATCCTTAACTAAAGTTGATTTGTGCAAGATTTTAATAGAATCAAGGCCACCCTTTTAATAAAAACATATTTACCCTTTTATAATGGAATCAATTTTAATAAAAACCAAATTGAAATCCATAACTAAAGTTGATTTTTGCTTTTTCATGTAGAGATGACACAGACAAAATTACCTTTTTATTCAATCTCTTGGTTTGGAAGAAAAAATATGCAAGTTGATCTCAATTCTATAAAAAGTCTTGGATGTGTTATGTCTTAAGTTCTTTTTTTTTTTTTTTTTTTCCTTCTTACCCTAAAATGCTAGAAAGGGAATAAGGAGACACCAGCAAATGGAATGTCTGATGTTGTGTAGGCTCCTGAAAAAAGGGTTGTGTTTGGATGGTTCCCTTTCACTCACTTTCCTTGCTCTTTTTAGCCTTTTGTTTATGTTTATTGGGGGGGGTCCCTCTTACATGCCATTGCTCCAAAAAAATCACCCATCAATTTGTGTGGAGAAAATGGGGAACATAATACCAACCTAGGCTAGTAATTAGCTGCCTTTTCAGTCACTACTAAACTATTCATCTGTGTTGTGAATGTGGAGTTTAGTTTATTTATAAATCTTTGTCTTGTCTACCTAATCCATGATTGTAAGAAACGATTGTTATTATGGTTTAGAAGATAGCCAAGCTGGGTTTGAATACAAAGAAGCTCAAATTCAACTAGGAAAAGAACAAAGGATCCAAATTCAGCTCTTTTTTTTTTTTTTTCCCCTTCATAATCCAAAGTAAATATATCAAATTAAAAGGAGTGCAAGGGTACTCCAACCCAATTTATCAAATTCGGCTCATTAAACAAAATAATTAATTTTTAAAGTTAAAAAAAAAATTAGAATATATACCAGCTCAAGTTTGAATGTATAATTCGATTCTTTTTTTTTTTTTGAAATGTGTGATGGTTTTATGAACAAGAGATTAAATTCACCTTTTTAGTTTAGTTAAAAACAAGTTATTCATGACAGAATAATAAATTTGTGATAAATTATATTTTTTTTAAGTATATTAAAAAATTAACTATTTGACAATATAACTATTTAACAGATATTTAAATCTTTAATTTTAATTTCGAATCAAAATTTTTAAATAAAAGATTTGTGATAAATTTTATTCTGATGACATATATTATTTGACTCTATGACTAGAAAAAAGTTAAATGCAGTTAGTCATGGTCAAACAACATTGACTTAAGTATTGATATCCTTTGATATTAAGAGTCATGTATCCTTCAGTAGTTTAAAGTAGCATTCTCCTACATGAATGAATTTATTGCATGTATAGGTATGTTTAAATGTTCTGCTCCAATGGATTAGATTATATTCAAAGGTTGGAAGTGTGGAGAAAGACAATAGAGGGAGGAGGAATGGGAATGGGAGACAAGCGTGCAAAGAATCAAAGGCAAAGTTAAAAAATTAAAAAACCATACTTGAATTAAGGTGATGGACACGCTTTGGAAATCTCAGGTTAGAATGGGACTCTTACTAAAAATACTGACGCACGTGTGCTCCCAACACTGTATTATTATTTTTTTTAGTACTATACAAAAATCCCATTTTTTGTTTTAGATTTATGACAGACAGAAGATATGCGTTGTTCCTATAACCAGCTTTGATATTTGAAGAAAGTTATAGAGAAATGGTTTTATTTTAGCCAAATTTCAAGTTATATTACAATTGAGTGGATGGTGTGAAGTGAAGAATGAAATTATTCATTACCTGTTTAATTAATTGTAAATTTTTTTGTTATTAATAAATCTATATTTGTTTATCCAAAAAAGTTGTAGTAATTTTTTTTTTACCAATAAGAATTTTGCCAATTAAGTTATATATTATTGTAGCTAAAAAAAATTGATTTATAATAAGATCAAAAATTCAAAATATTTGTACAAAGTAAGTAACTGCATATACATGGTACTTTTTAAAAAAAATGAGAACAAACAAAAGAAAGAGTAGCGGTAGCCTAGTATGACAAACACTGTATATACAAGACAAAAGGCTAAGCCCCTTAAAATCCTGCCCTTTCAATAAAGTTTTCTTTTGAATTAGTAGATATTGAATTTTTTTTTTTTTGATGGAATAAGATATTGAAAATTTGCATGTTTAGTTAAAGGTTTACTTTTTTAAGAAGGTGAAGACTGAAAAAAATTACAAAAAATACTATGTTAAAAGTCAATGAATTTTATAATAAAATTTTATTAAAATTTTTTTTAATAAGAAATAGGTATTAAAAAGGTTAATAGTAGAAAAGTTATTAGGTAAGTCTCATGTAGGAAAAGTCGAGAAAATTTTCTTTCCTTTAAAAAGTGTGGGAAAAAAAATTACTAGCTGAGAAATGTGTTTAAAAAAATAAGACTAAAAATATCATATTTATCCTCTTTTTATTATAATATTAATGTGTAATAATATATAAGGGGAAAAATATTTATTAGTTGTATTTTCAAAAAATTAAATAGAAAAATATATTAAAATTACACTATTTTAATAAATTCTCATAAAAAAAATTAAAATATCTTAATTTTTAAACTAAGAATAAAACTATTTTAGTATTTTCTCATAATATTTTATTAAAACGATATAATTTTAAGTGTTTTTCTATCAAAACTTTATACAAATTTGGTTAATAAGTAGTAATCCCATATATAAATAACTTAACAAAAGAAAAATTATGGAGAAAACTTCCTTCTCCAACCAAATATGCCCTAAATAGAGGGGAAGGGGTTAGAGAGGGACATGTAACAGCACTTTTTTTTTCTTTAATGTATCAAAAGTTAATTGTTTGATATATCTACCTATTTAACAAAACTTTTGTTGGTATATATAACATCAATTTTTGAAAGTGGGTGCGGTAGGTTTTAAGATGAACCAAGAGGAATTGCTTTCGGCAGTATGCCTTAATTGCAAACTTCTAATTTTAGTTGCTTACAAAGAGGGAGCAGTCTGCCAATACAAGGAGTTTTTACTAGCCCTCTTGGCCCTAGCACAGGCCATCACATTAAAGGTTCAATTAGTATCTCTAACATAGAGGGCTGGGTTGATACAAAAATCAGTGGTTTTTTTTGGATACCTACTATGATTCAAACTTAAATTCATAACGCCGACTCATCAAGAGGTCAGTCCAACCCACTGTTTTTGGAGCAATTTTCCTACAACTTTATACTTTTGATATTCCCCTTTTTTGTTTTATAATCATAACAATACAATAATTACAAGAATAAAATCGATCACTATCTCTGTTAAGAATCTTGTTAGAAAAAGAAAAAAAAAAAAGAAAAAGAAAAAAGCTTTCTTCACCTGCTGTCTTAATGGATGTTATATATAGTTATCGCATGTGTTTGTCATTTTAATTATGACGACACGTAATTATGATACCAAATTAGTAATTTACTCAACTGGAAGTTAAGGCCTATCTAATTTTGATGGTGCTATATGGATAATTTTTTTGTCTTATTTTTTATATAATTTTTATATGTCATTGAATAAGTAGATACATTTAATATCACGAATTTATATAAATTAAAAAAATCAATTATTTTAATAATCCGTCAAGTTATATAAAAATATGAGAAAAAAATTATACAAAAATCATTTCTCATCTCATTACTATTCGTCCCAAAAAAAGGATGTAGAGTAGTTTTTTTGAATGGGTTTAATTACAATTTGAAGCAGGGGAATTCAAACATTAATCCTTAAATTAAGAGATATATTTTTCAAGTCGATTTATAATCGTTAGGTCGTGAGGTTTCGGATGCAAAAATGCAGAGTAATTGACCACAAATTGATAGGACATGGTTTATGAAATTAAACTTTTTAATATGTAAATTGAGATATAATATAATTGGTTATAAAATAGAAAGTAATGTATAGTTGTTGCATGTGTTTATCATTTTAATTATGACTATACCATAATTATAATACTAAACTGTTAATTTATTCATAAAATTGTTAGGGCCTATTTGATTATCATGCATCACGAAAAAAAAAAAAATTAGGATAGTTGATCAAAAATTGATCCAACTTAATTTCGGAAATAATTTTTTTACACATAAATCGTAATGGATTATATTGTCATTTTTTTCATAAAAGTTTTTATTAAGATTTTATTTTGCAAAAAAAATTTGATTATAAAAAAATAATTAATTATATTTATATGATCACTTATTTTTTATTTATAAATATTTATATTATAAATATAATTTGCTGTTTTTATTTTATATTAATTATTATATTACACTTTAATTTACATGTTAAAAAATTTAAGTTTCTATTACACGTCATTGATTTTTTATCAATTACTCTAAATTTTTTTTCGAAATCTATGCTAATCCAACAGGCCTTTAAAGTAAGGGAAAAACTTACCTTAGTTATTAGATAAGTATATTTATCGTTTTAATCATGATCATACTAGTTGACCAAAAATAAAAATCATAATTATACCATAGTTATAAAACCCAAATCTAGCTCTAATAGAGTTAGTCGAGAGTTATAAGAATCGATCCAACATGCCATCAGACATAGCCAAGAGTTATAAGAGCTGAAAATGAACTTTTCACTTAGGTATGGTTTGAGAGTAATGATATGTAGCTATAGTTATTGATTTTATAGTCATTTAACATTTTAAAAATATGTAAAATATATTTAATATTTACTTTAATAAGTATATTTTATATTTTTTAATTATTAAAAAACATAAAAATTGAAAAGTAAAGTACCTAAAAGAAACGTTCTCAAATAAATCTATAACCGAACAAGACCTTCCCATTTATTCTACACGCTCTTCTCAAGTATCAACCATGCCGGTTTGCTCCTCCCTCCAACCCCCTGGCCTTGGTTTTATGGCTACAGTAACTTTTGCTAAGTTTATAAAAAAGGGTTAAATTTTTATTTTAATTTAATTATTAAAAATAATGAATAATTAATAAAAAAATATATATTAATCTCAATTCTTAAAAAAATTAAAATTTTAAT